GGATAATCCGAAATAATTTTATACCCGTAACCAATATAATTTTATTCTTATGTCCGTATCCATAACCTAAATTTCGTATCCATAACATCCTTATGAATTTACTCCGTAAACAGACTATTCATTAGAACGTTTCTTTACCATCAAGAGACACTTTTCCACTAACAGTGGTTTCCAAAGGTCCATTACGTGGTCTGGATCTGATAAAGCTCGTTGATGCCAGTTAAGAACTCGTAATGGATATTATAAATATTGTTTACTGGGGCTTCATAACTTGAGATGTCACTCTGGAGTGTATTCTGTACCCCCTTTTAGTTTTTATGTTAGTCTAAAGCTGTGTGGAGATAGCTGGGCAAATATAAATATGATTTTCTATTTTATCAATTCACTTAGACTTTTTAAGAATGTACTTGTTTACAATAGACAGGCTTTTAGTTAAGTTTATCTAACAAAAGAATAAAAGTATCGTGCTTATAAATATTTATGTTATCCAGGGATTGAACCCGCGATCTCTGACTCTATAACAACCCCAAATCCGCTACTTACTTATCAGCAAGTTATTTTTATCAAGCCATAAGTAAGAGTCTCGATAAAAATTCAAGAATTAAATGAAAAACTACTTCACTTAAAATTATTAGCAAAAACAATTCTAAGTTCCCTATATCGTTAATTAATAAATCAAATCATTAGCGTAGCATTGGCTAACGACTTATTAGAGCCGTTTTATACCTCAGCTCGGCGCTTTTAGAGCAAATTCAATTTATTTCAGCGTAAAAACCGTGGGAACTATTAGTCGGTACATTAGCGAGCAAGGACAGGAGTCAGCCGACTAACTGAAAATTGCTGCGACCACGCGCCAAACGAACTGTGAAAATAATGGCCGCCGCGTAATGCTCGTCTTAAATCGACTAATGCATTCCGCATGCGATATTTTATAGTCGTTAAGCTATTTAGAAGTACCGGTATTTCAGAAAGCGAACGCGATTAGGCAGACGAGTCGATAATGCAAGTTGTGAACAAGTCTCTATGCATGTGTTTCCAAAAGTCTCCTGGCCGTGTAACCACGAAATAGATACTTGGTTCAACTGACTATCTGTAGGTTTAGCGCTAAACTCAGTCAGTGCCTGAGTATGGAAGCGGAACAGGAGGATACATAGACATATTTGACGTGACAAACCATCAGTTTGACCGTCAAAAAACATCCTCCTGTGCCGCCCCCATACCTCACGCACTGACTGAGTTAACCAGATCGAAAAAAATATCCATGAAAACAATAAATAGACATTTTTTGTTCATTGAAAATGATCTCTACACTTAAGTACATAGTTTATCTTAGAGTAGGCGCACACCGTTGATTTTTCGTCGGCCGATAGTTTAGTCAGGCAATTGATCAGTATGGGCATGTATGGGAGTGCGCACACTACGCCGATTCGATTTGGCCGATTCTTCATACAATTTAAAATCGGGCACAACTATCGGCCAACTAAAAATCAACGGTGTGCGCATACTCTTACTTTGCATTCAATGATTAGTTTATGCACTTTACTGAAGACATTGCTGTGATGTTGCCTAATGTAGCTGACGTAGAATTCAATTAGGGGGCAATAATGTTTCCATAATACTCCCCCCATGGTTTATGAACCAAATCACTTTTAAAAATGTTACGCACCAGCACGAGGCATTTTCTTAAGTGCTTTCGGTACAGCATTTAATCATATTTAATTCTTGCACATTTTAAAGCGACTCTGTTTTGTTTTTGAGCTCTGGTTGCGTGTTCAAATCCCGCTGAGGACAAATGTTGTTGTGGTGAGCACTAGCAATTATTATACCCGGAGTCATGTGAACATTTATAATAGCTACAACCATGTATCTTTTTAAGTGTGTTTTTAGGTATAAGTTAGCTAGCTATTGTATAATCACTGCTTTTCGTGTTCATGTGACTACTTACATGTTTATAATATAGGTATGGTGGATAGTGAAATTAGGAGATCCGCTGACATAGCCCGACGGATTAGCAAGCTTAAGTGGCAATGGGCAGGGCACATAGTGCGCAGAACTTACGGCCGATGGGGCAGCAACGTTCTGGAGTGGAGATCGCGTACCGGAAAATGCAGCGTGGGATGTCCACCCAGAAGGTGTACCGACGACATCGTAAAAGTAGCAGGAAGGCGCTGGACGCAGGCCGCTACTAACCGGGCAACATGGAAAGCATTAGGGGAGGCCTATGTTCAGCAGTGGACGTCCTATGGCTGAGATGATGATGATGGTCGATAGTGCAACAGATTTATCATTTTTGTTCCATAATAGCACTTAATACAACTACAAAATATGCAGTTTGCATGACGAGCCGTCGTCTGTACTTTGGGTCATCATTGTAGTCAACTTTCCTAACGAGACATAATGAGACCGCACGTTTGGCAGGCTCATTAAGTAGTACGTAATTATAATCTAAAACAACAAGAGCTGTCAGTCTCAATGTGTCCTCAATAGAAATTATCGGTTTAATTGTTGTGATTGTTCTTGGTTAAATTCAGATACCTGCAGGTAAGAAGTGTTTCAAGTGTTATTAAAAATTATAAAAATCTCAAAAAACAATTTAATTTCATGTTATAATACATAAAAACATAATAAATTCAAGAGTTATTGTATAAGTCTCTCCTATTGTAGGTGTATTTTAAGAATGTTTGAAGCAGGTTTTCTTACCTACAAAGAATTTCTTCAGCTATAAAATTTCCATGTAAAGTTACCTGCCTATTTCAGTATATTGTATTCTATTTATAAATTGTTTACTAAATTCTATTCTCGCCAACTTTACTAAACAAGATTCCACTGTAGGTACGCAACGCTGTCATTCGCTCGTCTGAATTCGTCTGCGACTTTCCCAACCTTTTTTAACAGTCGCGTAAAAATTTGAATGTAAAATAAGCCCTGTAACTGATTCGGAGTTCCGCAGCTAGCGGATAGAGAATGGTAACCCAACAAACTATTTCCCCACTGAAAACAGTCCGGAAATTAAACCCAGAGAAAAGTCTCCCGGGACATTAACTCAGAGAGAAAGGGATTTAATTTAAAATTTGTTTCGTGGCTTATATTTGTTTGGGGATGAATAAGTGCTGACACTTTCCGGGTGCACCGCACTAACTGCTTCTTTATTTAAATTAAACATCGGTTCTGGGAATTTAAGGAATGTTAACTTGAAATGGCCTGTTCTGGTTGAGTTGTATGCGAGTGTTAAATTTTGGATTACTGTACACTGTAGACTTTTAGGTTTGTTATTCATCTGATCCAGTATGTTAACATTCCATTTTATTTTTAACAATACGAGTACAATGCAGGAAATATTCTAACTGCACCAATGAGGTTCTTGTTAAGTTTTTCAACATGGCATGAAGCACACACAAAACCAAAACAAAGTTTCGAACTTCTGCCTAAAGTAGTGGCTAAATCTTACTGAAAATGGTAACCAACTGTCTTCAAGTCTTTGTAATGGCATTAGACTTGTCCCTCTTTAAAATTAACTTCATAATTCTATTAGGCTAATCATTTACAAAAGTCGAGACAGACAATGTGAGGATTAACTCTAGTCGCAGCAAAGCAAGCAAGCAGCTTTCTTGGCATCTAGGTACTTACATTCTGGGAAAAGTAGAAACATTATCTTCTCCAGACTAATGATACCTCAACTTACTATTAAAACTATACTTAATTTAAAACATTTCACTTTTAAACGACGCCTCGTTAAATGCGCAAGAAATTTTGCTCTCTGCAGATTATGAGTTAAAGCTGGAATGTTCCAGAAAACTAAAAAGACTGCGAACTTCAGCAGAAAAACTATTTGATTGCCCAAGAACTACTTACCGGGACACGAGAAACCGAACAATTTAATTACATTCGCTATCTCTTTCGTCCGTGACTTGTCTTTTCGTTCTAGGGTTAGCGGGCGACCTAGAAAGTCTAGAACTTTTTACTCTCTGAACGGATTAAGTTTTCGGGTTGTCACATCATTTATCACGAAGAATTATTATGTTTGTTGCTTTTGTAGCTCAACATCAGAAATGTGTTTAAATGTTTTCCGTCTGTTGTGAGCGCCGAAGGTCTTCATCATCATCATTTCAGCCAATGGCAGTGATCTGCTATGCAAGAATGAAGAGCCACAAAGCAAGTCTTGCTAGGTACATTTATAATCATCACTGCCAACTAGGCATACCTTCTATTACTACTTATTATTATTATTAGTGTCAATAAGTTATTAAATAAAGAATTTATTAGCGGATGTCTACACCTTCTCTTGATTGATTTTTAATTGAACAAAAAAATTAATAGCCCCTCGCTTTAGAACACACCTAGCAATACTCACTGCAAGATATTTTTAAGATCCTTTCCTTGCCATATAATTAACAATATTATAACAATACATTTTCCTCCATTCTTGAAACCATTTGTCGTCGAGTAACCCTACACCGTATCTAGGTTCCAGAACCTTGGTTAGTTGGGAACTCTTTTAATTGCACCCAGAGAAGTTTGCAATAAATTGCATAAGTACTGTAAAATACCAGGCGTAGTGAAAAGTTTTTACAATGCTTTAAAAGCCCACTTCTAAACTGAGTGTTTATTGCCAGTCAAGAATAGTTTTATTTCTTGTTTTTATATAAAAAAAGGGGGTGAAAAAGCCTGTAGTTCTCCTGATGGAAAGCGATCATCAAGTCATTTATTCATCAGGAAAGCCCAATATTTTTTTGAAATGAGTAATAGGGTGGGCACTAGACCATTCTGGGGTAGACCGTGAGTATACATAATATACGCGCATGATGTTTATTAGGAAATTAGAACTCTACGAAAACATAGAACAGCTCTGTTTTATCCTACATATTATTATTATGAATACATACTTGACGTTAAAGATAATGAGAATCATAGTTCACCCACAATATGGTGTCACAAAGATAAAGCTTTTTACGTCAGGAGTCCATTATAACTAAACATTTCTCTGATACGGATATAACATCAGTATAAGTGCACAGTTCAGTGCGAACTGTAGGTACGTGTTTTGATAAAGTTGTAAGAAAAGTTTATTTGAATAATAACGTTTAGTGTTAAATTAACCAACATACAAAAAGTGAGTGAGAATTAGTGTTATTTTATTTCTACATTCTCATCATCATCATATCAGCCATAGAACGTGCAATGCTGAACATAGGCCTCCCGAATGATTTCATTATTGAACAGTTGGTAGCGGCCTGGTTCCAGCGCCTTCCTCGCTACCTTTATAGGGCCGTTTTACCTTCTGTGGGTGGAGTGCTATTTTATTTCGAGTTAATTTCTAGGCTTCCAGTTGCACCATCTAACTTTAACTATAACAAACGTCAGCAGGAAGGCCCTGGATGCAGGCTCCTACCAAACGTGCGATGTGGAAGTCATTGGGGGAGGCCTATTTGTTCAGCAGTAGACGTCCTGTGGCTAAAGTGATGATGATCAAACGTCAAAAGACTGTCAAACTCCATTAAAAATATCGGTAATGATGATGCAACTCAGCCTTAAAATCTGAAAGAAAAAAACAAAAGAATTCCTCTGAGCTAACTAAAATAAATTTTTCATATTAGGCAACTTAAGACAATGAATAATTCACAACAGCTAACATGTTTTGTTGGGAAGCGTATATCGATAAATATTTATCGTTTCGTTCACGGTTGATCCGCCTACGATCACATTCTGTTTCGCTCCATTTTCCAGTGGGAGTCTCTGAGGCATCGCTGTTGCAACAAAAATAAAGACCTTACTCTTTAGGCAGGAATTGACATCTCTATCTATTCGAAAAGGAAATCCTTAGACTAGATTAAGGGCTGATTTTTCAGTCGTCGGATTACTTTTAACTGAAGAATAAACTTGTAATTTTGACATATTTTCCATACTGAAACTGTCTTATTCTTCAGAAGTTATCCGACGATTGAAAAATTAGCCCTTAGTATACTGTTATATCAAATTGTTGATGAAACTACATACCTACTATGTGCCTACCTACACAGATAAGCATTGCTTAAAAGATAAATAAAATAATATTTATTGCGCATCACACTGAACCAACTAAAAAAGTTTAAAAGACACGAGTAGGCCAGATTTGATTATTCTTGCTTTGAAAGCTGATATTTTTGTGCCGTGAAAAATACTTAATTATTTATCGGAACACCTACCTCCTAAGCCCCACTTGATATCATATAAAATATTATTATAATCTCAAGAAAAAGAAACGCCTGTAAAATTTTCCTCAATCTTAATCTGGATTATCCGATATTACACCTTTTACAATATGAGCGAAGCGTAAATGGATTTAAGGCGATCGTTCGTTATTCTTTCATAACCGCCCACGTTGACGATGAGACGGGGTGACCTGAATTCTATGTAACCTATTTTATACCGCATTAAATTTCCAAATAATGCTTTTATAACTGAGATGGATATAAGACAAAACCACTTCAGCCATTAACTAAAAATTTGCATGTTTAACTAATAACTATTGTACACTTCTAATGCAAATAAATACTACCTATTCTATTCTATCCCATATTAAAGTCTTCTACACACAAGAACGTTTATCAATACCTACTATTGACAACTAAAATTAATGATGACATTTACTCAGCTTTCTCAGCTTTTCCGACTTTTTCAGTCTACAATCAACTTGTCCACTGGATGTTTCGTTCTTTCTAAATCTTGTCATTATCAGTCATTTAATAATCTTTGCAGGAGCGCGACCCTCTCTAATTTACTAGAAGTAAATGGAGATCAAAATCTTGTAACTAAACATTATTGAAAGCAGTAGCAAAATAAAGTCGCAGTCGAACAAACTCAAGAAACTATCAAAACGAAATCAGCGAGCGCTTCATTATAAAATCCTTGCGGAGAAATATTTTCAATCAGCACGAGTGTTATTCCCAGCGTCGGGCGACGCGGCTCGTCGCGCGTCCTTTGGGAAGCCGGGATAGCGGAGACAGTCGCGCTGGGAATCGAATCAATTTGTCGTAGCAACATTGCGCTTGTTCACGTTCCACGTCTCAATCTTGCACAGTGCTTCTCAACTATTGTCGAACCCCCTTTGCATGAAAATAATGATGATAAATTATTTTTTTATTCAATTTGACACTGAGGTAGTTGTTAGTGTGCCAAACTACTTCTACTAAATTTGTACCGTCGGAATTTTTTACCCCCAACGGAGGTGTTCTTGAAAATTATGATCAGGCCATTTGAACCCATTTTCTTAACATAGAACCTGTAAGTTAAATTCTACGCTTTTTATATTCATGTGACTTTAACGAATTCCTCTTCTTTCTAGATCACAAACATGAGTTCCCAAAACTTCACCGTAGCTCCTCCCAGGATAGTGGACCGTCATGTTAGAGAGACCCTGTTCTGTGGGCCTGGGCCCGCTAACATGTGGCCTTCCGTAAATGAAGCCATCACGAGAGATCTTATATGCAACATGTGCGATGAGTTCTTCAATGTAAGTACAACTTTATACCATTAGCGTATCTAGGCTTATTTTTCAGGGTGGGCTAGTTCCTGATCATAACCCAATATACTTATTATTTTAAATTTAATATTCCATGCAAATATGGAACTTTATTCCTGGGATTGGCACAAAATGACAGATTACCAGAAACGATAACTGAGAATTTTGAGGCTGAAACTTTGTATATTATCAGTACCTACTTCTATCTCTAAAATTTATTATTTTTACACAGGTAATGGATGACATTCGTGCTGGAATCCAGTACCTGTTCCAGACTCAAAGGAAGTTGGTTCTGGCGATGAGTGGCTCAGGACACTCCGGCATGGAGGCGGTCATATGCAACCTGGTTGCTCCTGGGGAAACCCTACTAATTGCTAAAAGGGGAATGTGGGATTTACGAGCTGATATTATTGCTAGAAGATACGGTAATATAACAATTTTTTATTACCAAGAATACTCACTTTACCCTTTTTACTCTTTACCTGTAAAAACCTTAAACATTATTTGAGCTGTATTTTCTTGTGATGAAGTCCAAAAATAATTAATATCTCCAATGCCATTCACTGTGCTTTGGTGCTATGACTTTAATTTTCATTTACATTATTATTGATGTTTTATTGTTATTTTAGGCATAAAAACGGTTGTGGAAGAAATTCCAGTCACAGAAACATTCTCTTTGGACCATTTGGAATCTATGATCAAAAAAGTTCGACCAACAGCTTTATTCATCACACACGGAGACTCCTCCACTGGATCGGTTCAAAAAATTGAGGGACTTGGTCAAATATGTCACAAGTAAGTCCACAGCAAGTTCCACTTCAGATGCACAAACAAACCTCTCAAAGTGGATTAATAGCCTTTAAACAAAAGAAGACTAGCTGAAGTAAAAAGTAATATTATTGTATTTTGATTGTAACGTACAGATCACGGTAGGCACATCATGCAAAAATCTCTAAGCAGCTGAAATAAGAACGACTTTGCAAAAAAATATTATAATCTGATGTGCTGTTCTCTCGGCTTTGACCATTCTTTGCCACAGGTATGGAGTCCTCTTACTGGTAGACACAGTAGTGTCAATAGCTGCAGAGCCATTCTTCATGGATGCGTGGGAAGTCGACGCAGTGTACTCGTCTCCGCAAAAAGCAATGAGTGGCCCTGCTGGGATATCACCAGTTGCCTTTAGTGCTTTGGCTGAGTATGATAATGAATTATAACTACTCATTATAGTATCCTCTCCAACCCGTCTAATTCTGGCCAGCGTGGGAAGACCCAACCAAATCTTCCAGTTTCCTCCGCAAAAGCCCATGAGTGGCCCTGCTGGAATATCACCAGTTGCCTTCTTGTTGCTCTTTGGCAGAGTGTTATGGAATTATACACATTCATACTATCCTCCCCAACCAGTCTAGTTCTGGTCAGTGTAGAAAACACTTCTAATGCAAATAAATACTACCTATTCTATTCTATCCCATATTAAAGTCTTCTACACACAAGAACGTTTATCAATACCTACCTACTATTGACAACTAAATGTGATATGATATTAATGGTGACATTTACTCAGCTTTCTCAGCTTTTCCGACTTTTTCAGTCTATAATCAACTTGTCAATTGGATGTTTCGTTCTTTCTAAATCTTGTCATTATCAGTCATTTAATAATCTTTGCAGGATCGCGACCCTCTCTAATTTACTAGAAGTAAATGGAGATCAAAATCTTGTAACTAAACATTATTGAAAGCAGTCGCAAAATAAAGTCGCAGTCGAACAAACTCAAGAAACTATCAAAACGAAATCAGCGAGCGCTTCATTATAAAATCCTTGCGGAGAAATTCCAGATAAATCATACATTTGCCTCTGGTCATTTTTTTATAATTCTTTGTCTTTGTCCAGAGGATCAAATCTATTGAAAAAAAAAACATTTTTAAATATGAAACAACTTTTTTTTATAAACGCTCTTATTTCACATTTCAGGAACAAAATTAACAACAGAAAACATGAACCACCATTTTATTTTGACATCAAAGAGTTGGCTCTTCAATGGAATTGCTACGAAAATGCGAGAAAGTAAGTGTTTTTTTTTATTCATGTAAAATGTATAAAGGTACGCCCAAAGGGCGATCCGGCAAGTCGCCCACGTGCCAACTCCAAATTAAATTAAAAGGTGTACACTGATAAAATATGAATAGACAAATATTTGTGTGTACTATGAACATAATTGCATACTGATCCGAGTATTTTCTATACACAATCACTTAAGCTGGATTGCACGATCTTACTTTAACTTTAACAAACGTCAAAAATCTGTCAAACTCCATACACAAATCATCAGTTATTGTTATAGTAACGGTTAAAGTTAGATGGTGCAATACAGCCTTAGTATGTACGCTACAAAAATTGCGTATATTTATACCGTTATCTAGTTATTATTTATAAAATAACCAAGGACAACACTTATTATTATTTATAGCAAAAATGTCTAACTTTAATTTCTTCCAGATACCATCATACAGTAAGCACACCGATGCTGTGGGCTCTCCGCTGCTGTCTCCAAGAAATTGCCAAAGAGACTCTCCAGAAGTCCTGGGAGCGCCATGCAGCTGTCAACAAATACTTCAACCAACGCCTGGGAGAACTCCCCGTAACGTTCCTCATTGCTAATCCTGAGGACCGATTGTCAACTGTCACCACTATCTCCCTCCCTAAAGGCTACGAATATCTGGAGGTCATCAAGTACATGAGGGAAAAGTAAGTAAATTCTGTCTGCTCTGAAAGATTGCTCGTACATGTTTTTTTCCCGAGGAGCAAAATCATCACTTTGACAAAGTTCCTTGAACTATTTATCGTGCATCCTCAATAAATACTTGTCAGTAGTTCCAGAGTGACGCAAAAATACATTACGCCACTAAAATGTAAACATTATAATACACTCAGTATATTATAAATAATATTATGTCATTGTTTTCAGGCACGACATTCTTATCTTCGGTGGGATGGGCCCAACAGCGGGCAAAATCTTGCGCATTGGTGTGATGGGGGTCAACTCCAGCGTCAAAACCGCTGACCGGCTGGTTGCTGCTTTGGCTGACACATTGAAAGCACTGAAGAAGTCTTCACTGTGATTTAGTTTAGTTAAGTGTGTCTTTAAGTACGATAATGATGATTTTAAATATGCAGTTGGATGGCTTTAATAAATTCAAATTTTAAGTTACACTATATTTTATTCATCAGGTGGGTAATTCAAAATTGCAAAACTTTTCAACTTCGTCGAAATAAAGACCGAAATTCAATTAGTTATCAATTAAGGATTTTACACACAATTACACAAACCAATCCCCGTTAACCCTGTTAGACATGTTTCATTTTTTGATTCGCTAAAGTGAATAAATAGGTCAGTGAAGCTGAAATCAGTTTCCTAAAATACGACAAAATACACCCGAAAACTTCTTTTTAGTTACAACCTTACAAGTTGTGCAGTGAAAAGCATCTGTGACGCATGTTTTCTTACAAGTTTGAGAAACACTGACTTTACAACATATTCTCAATACACTCTTATCTCAAACAGGAGCTCATCACGACGAACGTATGCTGCACTATTGACCTCCTTTATATCTGTTTGTATCGTTTTATCGGCGTAACGAAATAGTCTTATAATGCTGTTCTAAATAAAATGTGAACTTTAAATACTAGTTTTGGAGTCTATTATAATCTATTGTTTTAAAAATGCTTTATGTTAGGCTATTTGATGAATACTATATTTACTATTATTTAGGGGTTAGAAAATTAAGTTAGCAATCGCTACAGTCAATAATCGTGAATCAATTTCTAATGCTTTTAATAATTTAGGTACCACATTTTCTGAAGGATCTAAAATTCTAAAGGATCTTTAGGTAGGTACAGGATTATACAGAAAAAAGATCTCCCAATCATCATTCAAAACAACTTTTTTTTATTGACCTTGATTAGTTTGCAAAATTCTAGCTTTTCATACAAAATCATTTGTTGCACAACATAATTTAATTTAAAACTGCTCACTTTGATGATTTTAATAAGATTTAAATGGTATAACCCTCGTTAAGAAAGACCTCTGCTTTGGTTTCAATCTAATGTAAAACTAAACTTAAGAAAATATCAGACTACAAGAAGCTTTAAAAGAAAGATACTACATAGTTAGTGCTTACCGAAAAGAAATAAATGTAATAAGTGTCATTTAAATTTGTACATAATCGCTGTGTTGTAAAAATGAGCCTTGGACTCCCACTATAATTTCGATGCGCTACTTAAACAAGGGATATGTCGTAGCACATAAAGAAACTAGAATTAAAGAATTTGAAGATTATTTTATTTTTCATAATATTGACATCTAAATAACTGAAGGGAACCAGTATACGTTGTAACTAATTAATATTTTATGTACTCGTAAATTGATGCAAGCAAAAGATGGTAGTTTGCAGATTATAGCTGGGTAGAGGAGACACGTAGAGCGCGTAGGTAGAGCGTCGTTTGTTGACAATCTAAACGTAAATATTGATATTTAATTGGAAGAATATTATTTAAAATAGTATTTGAGGTTTTAGACGTGCAATCAAATGACGATATCCACAACTTCCCCGCGACATTATTAAAACAATTGCTAAACCGCGGCTTGCTGCGAGGCTGGCAAGCGTTAGCCGCCCAGGGCGCGCGCGCTTGCCAAATGTACCGATAGCAGCCCGAACATTCGGGCAAATTTACAGCCACCCTATTAGCACTAAATCTAAACATTAACCCGAATCCGTAACCGAATGTCGGTCACGAGGGTGGATAATTTCACACGAGCTTTTGGCTGATGCCGTCCCATAAACATGTGATGCTAATAATCGGATAATGGATGTAGGTGCTTACTACGTGTGGTTACTGCCAGCGGTTCACGTTTTGATTGTTATAGCTTAGAAACCCTCTCAATAATGTTACTTCTGTTTTGTATCAATTCGCCATACGCTGAGCCTTTGTTTGTTTACTCTACTCAATAGGACTTTTTGCATTTTTTTTAAATAGTATTCGTTGTCTATTATAGGCACGCTGGATCATGAAGATCTTTGCAATGGCAGTGTGTAAGTTAAAATGATAACTATAGCCCAAACCATTTATGCTATGCCCAAAGTTTCAGTGTTTTTGCATGGAGACAAGAAATTAGCTCTACAACGTGAAAAATAGCTTTTACTTCATTTTATACCTCCTGTCAAATATTCGGCTTCTCCAACTGGGCTGAAGATTTAGCAAATTAATCTGAAAGAGACGAATGATGAATGAAGAGATGCAATAGAGTTATTACCTATAACAATGTTTAGTCAATCTTTAACTGAATTTTCAGGATAATCAAAATTTCAACTACAGCCTATGGTAGTGGCTTTAACAAATTAATCGGCTTCTGCTAATCGAAAGTACAAAATAACGTTAAGCCATGCAGATATTCGGCATGCTAATAACACATATATACGCTAACCGCATGTGGATAACGTGACCGGCTTACATTCCGTTATTAAAACGACCTAATAAAACTGTCCATTAGTTTGAAAACTGTTTGTATTAGCATTTAAAGTAATGAAATCATCAAAACAGATAGCAATCTGCAAATGACCAGCTCCCGAGCCATTTTATTGACCATTCGGCTAATATTGCCATTTCATTTGTCAGGCTCGTTTTAATTACGGGCAAGTTTAAATCACTCCAAAAGCTTACCGACGCGAGTAGGTAATAACGTAATGACATAACTTTGAAATAATTGTCGTTTAAAGTATTTTTAACGCAGAATCGCTAAAATCAAGTGGCAGTGAGCGGGGCTCATAGCATGAGTGGCGAACACGAGCCGGAAGACGTAGCGTGGGCAGGCCTCCCACTAGGTGGACCGACGTTCTGGTGAAGGTCACGGGAGGTGCCTGGATGCGAGCGACGCAGGACTGGTCTTTGTCCCCTTGGGGGAGGCCTTTGTCCAGCAGTGGACGTCTTTCGGCTGAAACGACGACGAGCCTTTACCTATTGTAGAAAGCTCTTTACTTTGCCTAGAGGCATTGTTCTAATGGCATATTGTTGAGTCTATTAAGATTTAAGAGATGTTTACTAATAGCTGGAAAAAAACAGTTTTTCGGTAGATTTGATTTAAATACCTACATAATGTTGGAAACAGCATTACCAGTTCGTTCGTCAGAAAGACGTCCACTGCTGGACAAAGGCCGCCCCTTGCCAGTCAAGCATTGCCAGTAACGCGGCATATATGAGAATTCAAGAAGCTTTTGTTTAATTCTTTAGAAGTTAGGAATTTACATAGGAATAAAAGACAAAATGTGTTCACAGGTAATTTATTTCATATCAGAACTGTTCGACAATTTATAAACTATTGACTGGATGCACCTAGCCAACCCAAAATTTTATAAAATGATGTTTAAAACACAAAATTGTGGATAATTATTTGTTTCGACGAATTGATAATAAAATATAGATTCAGAAAGTTAAATATCATCTCATAAGTCCACATAACGGGAGTATATAACTCTAATATTATTAAATAGAAAAACAATGCAATACAAGCGACTTCATAGTATCCTTTATGGCCATTAGTTATGTTATTTGCAAGCCATAGGTGTCTACTTTTCTATTGTTAGATTATACAAAAAAATATTATCAAGATAACTCTTTGCTTAATCGAGTGATATTCTCATAATGTCAAAAACAAATCTTAATATAGCCAATATAACACTATAATACATTTTGCTCACAATTTTGATGGACTAGAACCCACAACGAAACGAAAATTTTTATTTTACAAAGTTTACAAAACACTTTTTGGCAACATATCGGAAATAATTCCAAAAATCTTGAAACAAAATATCGTAGAGGTAAAATACTAAGGCCTCATGAGTATGAAATTAAGTGTCTATCAATAATGGAATAACAATGAAGAAATATAATGAATAATAATTACATTTTGCTCCACGTCGTAAACAAGTGAATGTATGAATTTGTAACCGAGGCCTCTTAAATGAAATTTTATGACAAACATATCTCTATCTAAATGGCATTCATTTCCATCACATCAACACATTATTTGGACTAGCTTCCTTAATTACGTAACTAATAGTTAACCTAGTAATTAATCAAAACTAGTCACGAAATTCGCATAGACTACCTTATCTACATCCATTTTAAACGGTACAATCTTTATTGTTATAAGTATAAAATTGTATACATGTTAAAAATATGATATCTAAACCAAATATTACGTAGTATTTACAAGTTTTATGATAATGAATAGGTTATCTAAGATGTACAGTGTAACCACAAAATTGAGCTCTATTGCAAAAATTGCGTTTTAATATACCAATAGAAATAAGTACTTAAATCATACAGGTTTTGAGTAGTAATTATAATTTTAATTAGTCGGTCAATTTGTCTGGTCAATTTTGTGGTTCCATTACAATATCTACTCCCTATTCCGACACAGGTTATAATCACTAATTATGTAGGTAATAAAAGATACAATTTTCATCAAGTGTACATAATACAATCGTGTGTTTAATAATTAGATTATTACAAAACTAAAAGCAAATGCACAAACAAGACGACCTAATAACACAAGTTTGTAATGGTTTAAACACGAATACCTACACGCGCCGTGTTCCCGTATCGTTCATATTAGTAAAGTAAATAAATATGCACATAAGTAATAATTAAAGTAATAATTTATATTTACATTAAGAAAATATGGCACATCTTTATCGACCGCGCTCGCACCATCTGAACACCGAGCGATCGAGCCGTCGACTTAACACTACAATCGTATCAGTATCGGAAAATAACGTTAATGCGCCTTAAAAATTTTGGGACGTCTCATAATACCAATTAAAATACCGGTGGGTAATTAAATATTCACTCCGTGTAACGCTACACTGTAAAGCTACCGTCGCCGAAGCCGAGACATCGCGACCGACTCTACAATTTATAAGTCATACGATGCTGCACCGCCACTGAGCGTGAGCGCTAGAAGACACGCTAAAGACATTAGTCAAGTCAAGATTACGATCCTATCACGCTTTTGTCAAGCCATGTTTGAATGTCATACCCTGTGGAACACTGGTGCTGATAGAGCCAAGAGCCAAATTACAGCTGTCAAAAAAAGATTTTCAGCATAATGTCGTTGACTGTACATGCCTACGACATGATAACACGCAATAACGCAGTTCTTATTTATCGAACACACCCACGTCCCACAGATGTCACGATGGGTCACCTCCAGTCATATTTATAAGTGCTGTGATAGTGAGGTATCAGCTAAAGCTGACACCTTTAACCAAGAGCATAGTTTATCATCTGATCTTGTTATACACTGGGTTAAAACCTTAATTCACTAACATAACTTCAATTCTATGCTTAATAGAAAAGTCACAACTAAATAATTTACACTACCCTATCAGTACTATATCAGCCAACAGTCCAAAGTCTTCAAATGCACCCTAAAGCTAGACACATTCGAATCGTACACTGAAAACAAGAAACATTCTAAGTGGTACCGTCCAAAGTGCGAGTCTGCTCAGTGGCGCGATGGCGTTGCAATAGGAATCATCCTAAAGCTAAACACATTCGAATTGACTCCAGCCCGCTCAGTGGCGTTACAATGCCGCATCCTAAAGCTAGACACATTCGAATCGTACAATTCAGTTTTTCAGTCTATAGCACTCACATCAGCTCAGCTGGGGCGCGTCAGTGGCGTTACAGTAGGCCGCATCCTAAAGCTAGACACATTCGAATCGTACAGTCAGTCCAAAGTGCCCCGCTCAGTGGCGCGATGGCGTTACAGTAGGCCGCATCCTAAAGCTAGACACATTCGAATCGTACAGTCAGTTCAAAGTGCCCCGCTCAGTGGCGTTACGTAGGCCGCATCCTAAAGCTAAAGCCCGATCTGCGAGCACGTAGAATTTTGTCCAATGACCCCAAGCTACCCATCCTTAACTACGCGCGAGCAATAAGAATGGGTAGCTTGGGGTCATTGAACAAAATTCTACGTGCTCGCAGACCAGACTATAGACACATTCGAATCGTACAGTCAGTCCAAAGGTCCCCCGCTCAGTGGCGTTACAGTAGGCCGCATCCTATAACTAGATACAACACATTCGAATCGTACAGTCTATAGCACTCACATCAGCTTAGCTGGGGCGCGTCAGTGGCGTTACGTAGGCCGCATCCTAAAGCTAACACATTCGAATCGTTCAGTCAGTTCAAAGTGCTCCGCTCAGTGGCGTTACAGTAGGCCGCATCCTATAACTAGATACAACACATTCGAAAGCTTAGCTGGGGCGCGTCAGTGGCGTTACGTAGGCCGCATCCTATAGCTAACACATTCGAATCGTACAGTACATCAGTCTATAGCACTCACTGCGCTCAGCTGGGGCGCGGCGGCGCGCGCTGGCGGCGGTTCCGCGCGCACGTGCAGCACGCGTCGCCGCGCCGTCGCCGCGCGCACGCCGCGCGGCTGCAGCGCTTGCGGACGCACGTCAGCTCGCCGTCCTGGGGAAGGAATGACAGTTCAAATTCTTCTTCTTCTTGTCGTGTCGAAAACAAACCTACACAGTGTCAGCCCAAAATTGTTCGGGAGCCGCCTTACAATAATATGACTATAAGAAGGCCTATGATTCGGTGCCTCATTCATGGCTAGAGAGGATTTTAGAGTTGTATAAGGTAAATGCAACTCTGAGATCCTTTTTAAGCTCATGCATGGGGCAGTGGACTACAGTCCTTCGGCAGCCAGGTGGTAGTGAGAGGTCTCCTGATCCATTGAACTTCATAAGGATTGAGCGAGGCATTTTCCAGGGTGACAGTTTGAGTCCCTTATGGTTCTGCCTAGCACTGAATCCTCTTAGCACTCTGTTAAAGGATTCAGGGCTTGGTTATCGGCTTCGAAGAGGGGGTGAGGTCATTAGTCACCTGCTCTACATGGATGATCTCAAGTTGTTCGCACCAAAACGACAAGACCTGGTGAAGTTGCTAAAAACCACACAGGTATTTAGCAACGCCATCAGGATGGAGTTTGGTGTAGACAAGTGTGCGGTCTTACATGTGGAGCGGGGAAAAGTTGTGAATTCTCCGAATTTACAACTTTCTGAGACAATGACACTCAAATCTCTCTCCGAAACTGAGACCTATAAGTATCTTGGTATGTCAGAATCGTTAGGTATATCGGGGGAGGGGGTAAGTGCTTTGCTTACTTTTGATGACAACGGGGGCGGGGGGGTAAAAAATGGTAAGAAATCTGCTTACGTAATACTTGAATGGCCCCTTAGACCATTGTGCGCTATTTGATCTTCCTATTCCAACCGCTCCAGATCCCCCCAGGTAGCAGCAGCCTATCTCTACAGGCCTTCTGCAGCGACCCTGGTGATTGGAGAATTTGAGCCTGTTGATCTGCTACGCTTCTGCACTCCTTGTGCACTTGCTGTGGTTTTTCTTCTGCCTCCATGCATCTTCTGCACATCAGGCTGTCTAAACAGTTATACTGTGTAGGTGTTTNCCACGCTTGGCAGGCGGGTTGGAGATCGCAGTTTAAAAGATTGATGTTTTTCAGAGAGCGCTGCTGCCCATTCTCTGTTTGATGTGTAGTCCCTAAGTCGCCTCTTACGACACCCGCGGGAAGAGTAGGGGTTGGTGACAAATGTATTCTACTCTGCTGTCACCACACGGCTTTCCACAGACCCGTCACATAAATTAAAATTCATCATTTCAATTTCTGCCCGGCCGGGAATCGAACCCGGGACCTCTCGGCATAGTAGTCCGTTCTGAACCACTACACCAAACGGCCGACGAAGTTTAAATTCTTCGTGTCGAAAACAAACCTACACAGTGTTAGCCCAAAACTGTTCGGGAGCCGCCTAACAATGAAATTGCGCTTGAATAATAATAATAATATGCAGTTTACTCCAGTTGCAGAAATATTACATGCCATGAGCCTGCGCGCGAACCCGGCGCTAGTGATGTGTCGCGGCGCTAGTGATGCGGCGTGAACAATCTCCCCCCGCTGAAAGGGATTCAGACTTTAAGGACTTCTCTTCTTCCTCTTGGGGAGGCAGCCGGGCCATAAGAGAGGCGTTGTCAGCAGCATTCATTAAATCCTCCTGCGAGTAGTTGCCCGGACACTCAGGGCACAACATCATGAGAAACCGAAGAAAATTTCGATCTACTGTGAAGGTTAAGCGTTACAGTGGGAAAAGATGAAGAGTTCCACCTTCTTCCCTTTGAACAGCGATAATTGGTTGGTGTTTTGTGACGTTGCTCTTGGACTTCCCCAAGGCATGCTTACGGCCAGCAGTGGATAGCAAATGGCCTCATTTAGTCTAGCAGTGATATATCTCTGCTCCCGGTGGAAGTACATGGACGGATGAACCTCCTTCCCGTTTGGTAGTAGGCCGTCAGGGATATAAGTGTTATGATCATGATCATACTCTTTCAGGTCGCGCTGCACATCTGCTCCTTTCGCTCGCCAACAGTGTTAAAGGTAGCTAGCAGTAGCTGGACAAGAAAAGCGGGAGTAGGCACGTCCACCATTGGACTGCCATTGGCTGTAATGATTACGCATCTCTGCTCCCCGCGGGAGTTGATGAAAGGGTTTAGTGGTTGGTGCTTTAATGGGTCTTTTGAGTAAGTTTGGGTTCAGCAGTGGATTGCCATTAGCTGTAATGTCTGTGTTACTTCAAGCAATATCTTACCTTTCAGCGGCAGGTGACGCATCTCTGCTCCCCGTACGAGTGGATGGAGGGATGCACCTCCTTCCCGTTGGGCAGTTGAATGATGTTTTGCGGTTTTTCATTTTGAGTCTTACGTCCAGCAGTGGACGGTCATTGACTGTAATGATTACGTCTAGCAATATCTCACCTTGCAACGGCAGGTGACTCATCTCTGCTCCCCGTGGGAGTAGATGGAGGGGTACACCTCCTTCCCGTTGGGCAGCGTTAGTTAGTTGGGGCTTTGTGGTGTTCCTTGAGCTTCCTCAAGGTACATTTACAGCAGTAGGTCGCAACTAGTTTCAATTAAAAGTCAATGCCTCACCTTGCATCGGCAGGTGACGCATCTCTGCTCCCCGTGTGAGTGGATGGAGGGGTGCACCTCCTTCCCGTTGGGCAGCGGGCCGTCGGGGAACTTGCAGCCGCCCTCCGCCAGGATCTCCTCGGCGGTCCGCGGCGCGGCCTGGTCCTTTGGAGTCTCGTCTTCTGGTTTCTTCGCTTTTACCTGGAGTAAATGGTAGTTCATATTTAATTCAATCACTTTTACTCGCATAACTCACTTCTGAACGTTTTTTAGGGTTTGCATCAAATGGTGCGTGCGTGATACCTAATTCGATACATAAAATCCAAGACTCAAAATCTTGTGGAAGTTTTGAAAATCTAATTTTCAAAACTGAATCTTCTGCTACGAACTGCTGAACTGCTAACTACCATACTACTTGTAATTGATTTTAAATTATAACATTGTTTAGGAAGTCGTGGAAACATAACAACACAAGTTCTACCTTCGGTCGTTTAAAGTAAAACAAAATTGTGATTAGATTTGAATAGAAGTTTATACCGCTACTACAGAACTGATAGACTGAACTTAAACTTAAACCCTCGATATGTATTTTTACACGTAGCAAATATTTACCTCTGGACAAACACGGCAACAAGACTTCTTATCTGGTCGATACGCTTCCCTCTCAGAACACCTGAGAGGAGGACACCTGACCCTCGGGCAGCGGACCTGCCTGGTCGAGAACTCGCAGGTGCAAACAGCACAAGTGTCGTATCCCTCAGGAACTAGGTACGGGTGCCAGGAAGACCCTGGAGCGTGGTACTGCCCGGCCAAATGGCAGCCGTGGGATTCGTTCCAGACCGCTGTGGTTGAATCTGAAATGAGGTCAGAACAGATAGTTAGTTGTACGTAGTGTTTATATCCAGACCATACATTGTACCTACCATGAGTTTACGTTAGGTGTGCTCGCTAGCGAGTACGTCAAAAATCTCTATGAAGCATTTGTTTCTTGAAAGTAGCCGCTAGAGGCGCTACACAATATGTCATACAATTAATGTCATTTTTTTACGCAGTCGCTAGCGAGCACACCTAACGTAAACTGATGGTAAGCACACAGGAGCTTGAAGCAGCTGACTATCATGAAAAGAGTAAATGGCGCAAATTATGAAACGAGATATCATTATCAGATAATTTATCCGTCACTGCAGAAGGATGACCCTGTCTAATTTACCAGAGGAAAAGGGTAGGATTTGGCCAACATTGCCCATACTGGCCAGACAGGTCAGGAAGGCCTGATGCTCGCATATTTCTCGCTTGGTCACCTCTTACGACATCCACTGGAAGAGTGGGGATGGTCCTATTCTATTCTGCTGAAACAACACGGCTATGTTGTAAGAATAATAAATAACTTACTGGTGCAGATAGGGCAGCATTGTCCAGGGGGCTGGATGGTCGGTACACTGCAGTTCACGGGAGGACATCTCACCGGGTCGCAGCGGAGAGCTCCGTGCACGCAACCGCACATGTGACATGACTGGAAGAACAAATAAAACTCATTATATTGGGATATTGTAATGATGCCTCAAGATACTTTTAAATTACTTTCCAGGCTGGGAAAGTACACGAAGCATTTTTCTGCATTTTCCTGATTCAAGAGCCTTATATCATGTCAAAGGAAATCAAGAAGACGACACGCAAATTTTCTTTCTGGGTGGCCTTCCGCTTAAATAGTGCCGTTTCAATTTTGCATTGCTTAATTGTCAGTTTTGGGTGGTACGAAAAACAACCCGTAAAACCTTCCAGCTAACCTAAAATATGCTTGTGTTACCACAACGGGATTCGAACTACGGACTCTCGAATCTGCAGCCTGACAGTGACACCGTTGGGCCTTTATCACCTTAAAAAACATCGAAAGATCTTTGAACACTTACATCAACAGCCATCCATTGGGCACCATCTTCATAAAACGCCCCGGCGTAGTAGCAAGAGGCCGTGTTGGACAGCGAATTATCAGGAGGCGACGTATTGACGTGAGACGGCGTGTAGCTTGGACTCAGCTCGTTCCCGCCAGTCCAAGAATTGGTTGGCAGACAGGATGGTGGCACGCTTATCTGGAAACGTAAGGAAAAATATGAGTGCACTGTTCTGGTTTCCTAATTTAATTTTACAGTCGCGATCACTTGTTTTAGCTGAAACACTCACCAAAAATGTAGCCACATCTTAGCAGCATGAACAAAAAAAATCATGATTATTTCGTGAAAAGAGAATTTGTGAGGAACTTCCTTACGTGTCACACTATAGTTCACTATAGGTACGAAAAGATGTACCCATTTGGACAAAAACGCAAACAGTGATGACATTTATGTAGATGAAGAAATTATGAAGATTTGGCACTGAATGTTCACTTATCATCCTCCTAATTTTTTTGTGGCGAATCACCGCACTCTTTGGTGGGGAGTAGAGTTGCAGAACGATTATGTAGTTATAGCTCCATAAAAAATGACCCTATTAAGTCAACTTTCTTTTCTCCCCTATCATAAAAGTGGATCGGAGTATGTGCTGGTTTCTGGTTTCATGGCCTTAGGCCTTACCTGTGTTAACCGCGCGCGCAGTATTGCCGTGTCATTGTCAGCCGCTCTGATATCCAGGAATGCGACTCCATCGTGCAGTGCAGATAGTTCGGCTGCAGTTGGTTCTAACACGCAGCCCTCTATTCCGGTGAGGGATCGAGCTTCGCTGCCAGGGTGCGTTTCCAACCACGCCGACCATGGTCCGGCGCTGCCCATTACTGTGACCTGGAGAAGTAAAGGAGAACATGAATGTGAAGATTCAATAACAATAGCAATGCTACTACGGTAGTAAAATGCCGTCCAAGGCTGAAGAAAGGATGTCCACAACGACGGTCCTGTGCTGCCCGCGAACTTATCCCGATCGTCGGTCCACCGAGTGGAGGGCCTACTTCACTGCCTGCCGCCTAGTCTGCACTTGAGAGCCTCTGCCCCAACAGCCATTAGTTCTACGAGTTATGTGCCTCTTCCACTACCACTTCAGCCCTTGTTGCCACTTTTTAACCGACTTCAACACAAGGTATAATTTTTTTTGGCGTGTCATAATAAACTGCTACTCTTCTTAAATCTCACCTCATAGTGCAGTCCACACAAAGCGTCCACGGACAACCAAGCCAGGCCAGCGACCGGGTTAGCTGTGACTGGCTGGCGGGCGTCAGTTCGTCGCAGCAGCGCCGGGCCAGAGCCCGCGGCGTCTGGTAACGGTCGCGACATTAATCTGCCTCGAAGGACTGGAGGACCTGGAAATAAAGATAAAACTGGTAGAGGATTTGGATCCAAAGGATTGGAGTCAAAGCTGTTCTGTCCCCAAGGACAGACTCAGATTACCTAAAGTGCACTAGTTGGGATTTCTTCTTCACTAGAAATTGTGGCTACCAATCGTCATCAATAGTGTATCAATAAAATAAACATTTCTTCGTTATTATGCATCTATTAATTTCCTGCAACTAGTTTTCTTTCAAAACTTCACAGAAGCCATTGAAGAGAACTAGGAAATAATATGTGTGTAACTTAGCCTTACGACCTTGTTGAGAGACGAACATGAAGACAGCTCGAACAAGTCTAATGACTTAAATTCTTTGATGCTTTTAGATCCTAGCCTCTAAAATCAGCAAAAATATTTTTCTAAAACTATTTTTGTTAACAAAATGCTTTTCTTCCTTACCAAGATCAGCACCAATGTGCACTGCCAACTGGTCATCATACAAAGGAGGGAAGATCCTCGCACTGGGTCTGGCCAATACGCCGATATGCGTGTCCAGTATCTCAACTTGAGAGTGACGCTTCCCCTGTTCCTCCACCAGCGTTATCTTCGGATCAGTTATCCCCATGTTGTCCACCTGCAATTAATAGTAATTAACAACTCATTAACGCGACACTGATACCACCTTATCAAAAAGGTCACTGAACTATAATTGGCAGCTCATTTCATATCGTGTAAGGAATACTTTTTTCCACTGAATAGCTTTATCGTAACTATTTAAAGTAATAAGTTATTTTTAAAAGGAAAAATATGATTACTTAGTAATTAAGGTAATGAGCTGAAACTGAGAAGTATTACTTCTACTAACGCAGGTATTCATAAATGATGCTTGCTTAAGTGAAGCAGCAAATCGAACGCACAGTGTTGAATAGGTTCGTATGTATCACCCTGTGCGTCCACGCGCACTGTGAGACCTCATAGTAATGTTTGTGAATACGGGCGTAAGATATTGATAGAACTGAAGAAGATAATAAAGGTACCAAATTCGGACAAAAATTGACTGTGAAATGTGTGTAATGGATGAGATCGATAAAATATTTTTCAGATTAAATGATTACCTGTATATCATAGACAAGCGAGCCTTCTTTGTCGATGTAAAGCAAAGCCAGTCCTTCAGGCGCCGGCGACGCGGGTGGTCTCTCCGCTACCAACGATGCGTGGAACACCTCACACGCGGCTCTCTGCCTCACGCTGCCACTGATTCTCCTATCCGGGTTCCCGATAGACTCCACAGTTAGGAGCAGACGCCCTCGGGCCAAGGACCTCAGCTCGGCAGCTGACACTGGGGTTGACACTTCGAGGATGTTCATCTCGTAACTGGGCTTCGGGACTTTTTGCACCTGAAAATTTACCAATCATAGTTATTAATTCAGAACTGTGCGGCAGGCAAACATACAAATAAAACTTTTTTAGACTTTAAACCTTGGGGGAGGCCTTTGTCAAGCAGTGGACGTCATTTGGCTGAACGAACGAGACTTTAAAGTACGATTTTGTAAATTTAATTTTATAAATAACTTACATCATTAATAATCGTTTGATTTTTGTCAGGTAGCGTAAGCAGCACCCTGACAGCTTGATCTCTAGAGGCTGGGGTGAACACTCCATTGTAGAGCAAAGCCAGATGCAAGCTTGGCGCCGCACCGGCCGCTCCCGTCACCACCGCGGTTCCTCCCCACCAGCCTTCGTCTTGGCCCAAGGTCCTGTAGTCGTCGCAAGGACCATTGCCAATCGTAGCCGGTGGATGCTCAGGCTCTAGCAAAGACGTAAACATCTCCGACGACAATGCAGGATACCTAAAATGATTGCACAAACTCCAATAAAATTCCATCATCGAGGAAACTTTAAGGCAATAAACAACCAGCGCTTTATACTACAGAAAGATTCCTAGATCCTTAATTTAATTCCAACGAAGCCTGTACATTAATCAACGGACTCAATGCAATTTACCGTGTGTCGTCACTCAGCATGAATATTCAATTATAGAGCGGCAACTTTACTATAGCTAAGACTTAATTTAAAAGCATCCAATCACGGTTCAAATAACTTTTGGATAAAAGGGATTGTCTAAACGGTTGCAATGTGAGAAAATAATGACTCATAACGTTCTGACTTGTCGGTATTTTCCTAGATTGATTACCAAGGAAGTCGAGGGACTTTCCGTCAGTAATCACACGGCTAATTTAATTTGCAATCTGTGCTGAACAATACGACTTCTATATCTTGGAATCGTTCAAGGGTAAATCAGCGCATCGCACATTTGTAAGGCAGACAGACGGATAGCTGCTATAAAACCGTCGTCATGATACATAGTTCCGCTATAAAATTGCTATGAAGTTTATCAAGCGTGCCGTACCTACCTATTGATTCGACCGCTCAGAGCGCTGTCCATAGTGTTGTTCCGTTCGTCGCCCCACACTAAGGCCACATACAATGATCCTTCTCTCAATAATCGTTTGTATTCTCGTGGTACTCGACGCCAAACTCCGCATAGCTGGAATAAATCAAAGGGTTATAGAATTGACTTTTAGTGCAAATCTAAGTCAGTATTGAACAGGATTCTAAAAGGAATAATGTATTTCAATAATACAAATATCATCATCATTTGTAACTCAGCTATCTGTCCTTATTAATAATTTACTTTCAAGAAATATTTCATCTACGGATATTCGCCTAATAACCATGTAGAGTTCACTAACCAGTGAACTCTGCATGGTTATTATTCCACATAACCATGTGGAACTCCCTTGAAGCGAGACTAAAGTGAACCCACTATTCGACGATCGTTAAACTCTAGAAGAACTCACTTTATCAGTTTTATCTTCGTACGTAGCATGAATTCCCGGGGCTTTTTTCAAAGGGTGCTCAAGCAGCAATCGTCCTCCTCGATCCAAGAACAGCAGTGCCCGAGGTGGCACAGCCATCGTTGGGCCCAGGAGCACGGACCAGTAGAGGTGTCGCCGCTTGAAAGTGAACCTGGCAGTGGCTACGCCAGCTGCCACAGGAACTCCTGTCATGTCATCCCGCCGTATGCAGAGAGGTGATCTGCCAGTGAGCAGCGCCCCAAAATCTGGAGACCAGAAATGAGAGAACTATCAGTTTGAAACAAAAAAAAGGAATAAGACTAGTTGAGTTAATTCATTAAAAATTAGACACAACTCTATCTCATTAGTCATGTACTTGAATCTAGTACGAGTAGTTACATACAAAGTCTGTTATTGGTACTTACGTTTCATGCTAAGTTCATCATCGTCCGTAGCTATCACCACCGTTGGACTGTCCTCTTGAATGATATCAGGTGCTGAAACAATACAAATTAATTTATTATTTTATGACATCAACACGCAAGGCAACTTTGTAGTTACTTCGTGATTTATTGTGGTAGTGTTGGAGCCAAACAGCCAGAATGTAGTTACAAAGATATTTCGTGGTTATTTTGAATTTAGGTTTATTTGCCGTAATTAAGTCAAATTAATGTCACCTTTCATTTAATGCTACATTGTCTGGTGATGAAATTATCATAATATAACCATTTAAATAAACCTCAACTCAAGAACTTGCATTATTACGTGATTTATGTTGAGTCAAGAATTAAGTTGTTTGTCTTCAACAAATAATATAACTAATTGTCTGCACACTTGACAAGCATGATTAATAGAACTAGTGCTTTGTTACTTGAATAAAGATGTCGAATGATTAGAAAACCAAGTTCCATAAATGCATTACGACTTTATCTGAAATGCGATTTCGCACTTTCCCCATTGAACATGAGTAGCTCGTAAAAACATGTCGTTCAATCAATTAATTGCGAATGACGTTCGTTGCTTCTGGATTCCTAGTGCGCTTACGAGGCGAGCTTTCGCGTGTTCTTATTGTTGGGACATAAGGACGAGAATTAGACGATAAGGGATATCCAAGATCGGAGTTGACCACACCGGCCGATCGGTTCGCAAGACCTCCCCGACCCTTCTATTCGGCTTGATTGGATCAAATGTTATTCAATCGTAACAGGACCGGCGGCGTCTAGACGGCGACGGCAGAATTTGCGCTTTGCATAGCTTTCTTGTTTGGTCTGCTCCGTACAGAAATAGAGGGAGCACTGACATTTCGCGCGACACTTTGATTGTACCCGATTTGTAGACACATCGTTAAACGCTCGTAAACCCTAATGAATCCCGGTATCAATTTTATTAAATTTCCGCAATTGACATAAACACGGAGTTCTTTTATGGAATTTGCATGTAAGTTATTTAAACTAATTGTTACATGGTCGAGTTAATTACTACCTAATGGCATTCTTATTCAAATGTCTACATAAATAGCCCTAAGTAGGTAAACACTGAATGCCATAAATAATACGGCTAGGTATACCTAGTTAGCACACCCTATAAATTTATGTTATCTGATTATTCGTAGGCAGAGGAATGAGATGATAAACAAGCTCGCGGTAATTCTAGTAAACAGCGTGATGAGCGCCTGTTTACAGGTTAGATAAATCCGAAGGCAGATTGTGATCTGCTACAGTCCGGCGCCAACATTCATATTTCACTCTGTAAATTCATTTAATAAGCGAGACAGACCTAATTTATTGGCAAATGGCGCCAATGTGGCGATGATTTGATCTAGGAAACTTGAAATAACAACAAAGAGTAGGATGAGCAAACGAATTGGTATGAGAGGGGCAGTGCGGGCAAAGAAAACACGACTTCGGCTAAGTAGGCATCTTTATTGTATGCCATTCCCAACAAATCTCTGGAACATTGTCAGAGCCCTATTTTAGAATTAATCGTGCGTTTTATGTTTGCTATTTTCTCCGACGCAATATTTTGTAAGATCATCGTATACATTTCAAAATTTATAAATATGTTTGGCGAGTTATTTTCGAATGCTATTCGTCAGTGTAGAAAAGGAATGGGTTCTATAGATCACTTTGAATTTATTTTTCAATAGCATTGCTCAGGCCAGTGGAATGCCCACCCTAAATAGAGCGAAGGCGGTGCTAGCGGCGCCGAGGCACCTTTGACTTGAGCTCGGTGATCGACACGCGCTCGCGCAACTTTGTACGTGTGTCTGTGTCCGTAGTGCTGTAGATCTAGACTTATCAGGATTCAGATTATCTAGATATTTAATCATTATATCATCTGCAACCGCATGCAATAAATTCTCGTCAGGCTCTACAACTCTACAGCACCGATGAGGTCCGATGCCACCATAAATAGGTATCAGTCTAAAACATAGCAATTAAATATCTTGAAAACATCTCGGAATTAACGATAGAATCTCGAAGATTTCTCAAGAACATAAGATTGCCTTATCCGTATTTACAAAACGCGCACACGCAGCGCTCACGCAATCCGTCAACGGCGCCCCATCGGCCGGTGCCACTCATTAATGTCATTTAGCAAACTCTGAAAGCCTCGAGAGCGAAGACGTGATAAGACTGCGGCCGGCTCACTCACTCATTCCTAGTCGCCTCGCGACGCCTTTTCGCCTGTAGACGCGTTTTCCTACCGAGTGATGTAACTCAGGCGCCGCTCAGACGAACCGACAGTTGCCATGAACGAGTTGCTATGAAATTTAACTGCGACTGTGTCCTGTGTAGGTTCAATACGGAACAGTACGGGGCCTTGATTAAATTCAAATACAAATTTGCATTTGTAAACAGGCCTTGAAAGACAACTTTACATGTCTGATAATACCAATCTTAATTCAACCACCAATTATGGTAGTTGACAACCTATGAGGCTGCTTTTGAATTCAGTAGTGCCTTATACTTTTGAAATAGTTAATTTTAATAATTGCTAGACTGTTCTGTGTATTAAAGTCAAGATTATAGGATAGGATAAAGAATCCTTGTTTATAAATTCATATAATTATGGAAGAATCAACACCGCCATACGCCGCCGTTGTAGTTAAGGTAGAGCCCGATTTCTTTCTTAAATTCACAACATCTAAAGCTTTCAAGCAAACAGAAGGTGAACAATATTTTGTAAACCATATGAGCACATTATCTTGATTAAAGTTAATATACGCCACTCTTGTAGCGAAGTTTTGGGCCGACACTATGGAGGTTTGTTGTCGACACGATAAGAAGAAGAAGAAAGTTAATATGGCCACCTCTTAGATGACTTATTGATCCGAATATCCATGTGATAATTATGACTACTATCCGTTATATTATTTTATCATGTATAATATTCCTGTTTACGCTATTAGTGTAATGGAACCGAGCACCGCCAAGTTTAGAACAGTTGTTAGCATAGCGAGTTTAGTGCGCGGCGCGACAGTTAACGGTCCCAGATCATAGTGTCATAGACAATCGCTGAATACGAGAATGGGCTTATACAGGGTGACAGGGACTCGACCTATTCCTTGAAAGGGGTTGAGAGATCATTAGCAACAAATTATGACCAGTGAAAATTAAAAAAAAACTTACAGAAAATAAAAAATATTTTTACTTAGGAGTTCTAGGCTTAGGACCTTTATCTCTGAGATTATGTAAGTTTTGGCCAAGTGCTTTTTTGAAAATTATCACAATTTTTCAAGCTTTCAGAAAAGTATCAATTCAATTTTTAGGGTGTAGTTTTCACAATTACATTATTCACAATTAAAATTTTCTAAAAAATCTAATAACCGTCACAACTCGATAACTATGCAGTTTTGACTTCTGGCTCACTGGACTTAATTGGTTACTAATGACCTCTAGTATAACCCCTTTCAGGAATAGGTAGAGTATCCCTGTCACCCTGTATTTAGTATGTAAAAGTTTGCAATGTCTTGTGCAACGAATTCTCATAGGATCGGCCTTTGAACGTGTCTGCTCATGCAACAAAGACAGTATTTATTGGACTTATGCTTCAATACTCAGTGACATTTGATTTCTAAGTATCATGTATAGGAATTTATTACGTGATTCCTCGAACTAAGTAAGGTGAAGAAATATACAACAATATGGTAAAGAATGACAATTTCTTGAAGATCAGAAGAGTATATTTCCAAGACAAGTATTATGAATGATCAATTCGTCCTGTTGTCATGTCTTAACCTATGTATCCTAAGGCACTAATAACAGTCCAAATGTAGACTGAGCAGATACATAACATTGTGGCACAATAAGCTCTATCTATTTACCTTCATTGTCATAATACCCAGACATAATTCTTCATAGAAACGCCTCGTACATTATGACCAAATCGTTCCAATATTAGAAGTGCATGAGCTTCATTGCGCAATCAATCGACGTAGAATATACGAGTCCTAAAGACAACTCGGTATTTTAGTACTTCCTATGCAAGCGCTCGCATATTTATGAGACGTTTCAGAGGATTAGATAAATGATATGAACACTTGCATACATAATGTTCCGATATTCATTTATATGTTTCTTATTTTATTACACTGATAATTTTATGACCCTTCAGTTCGAAAATATTTGTTAGCCAAATTATGAATAGAAAGCAAGGCCGTTCTATGTCGAGAGCATATCGTAAAAACCAGTACTTCTACATCTCAATCTTAATAGATATCTCAATCTTTAGCAAAGTATCCATCGATCTCCATAATGTAGAGCTAAATGAGTAGTAAAGCTTACGAAACCATTTGGAAACAACATTGTAAACTATAACAACGATAAAGTGCGCTAGCCTAATCATGGCAAGACGTTAAAAAGCACTCAGCTGAGAATGCTTTACCACATCTATCAAGTTGTAATCCACTCGAAAAATACGTTTGTTAAACAAAAATGTGTTTCTACGCTTTATTTACTACGCGACTACAATGAAGTAATGCAACGCCTTGACCTCGCGCGCTGAAAAATGTGTGTTCCAATCTGTAGGCGGTTTTCTAAACTTGTGACAGACGTGACGTAAGCGCGTCTGCACTGGCAAAAATAAATGAAGTGCAGAATGTCTACTTCGTACAATGGGAGGATTTCAGATACAAATTAAGAATTATTATGAATATTAATTAAGATGGATATAAAAAAGCTGATACTTGCGGCTTACTTTGCGTAATGCCTATACCGCAAATATTTACAATTTTAAATACGTGATAACTATAAGATAGATAGATAGATAGATAAATCATTTATTTGCATACACTTAACACACATAAAGAGTAAAGTTGCAGCATAACAATAATAAGAAAAGAATAGAATACAGTAGAATACTAGTTATATAAGCATGCATAAAACAAACAAAAGCAGTAACAAGTGGAAGAATACTTCCTGCATGATGTGTGTCGCAGCGATGCAAAAAGCAAAGAGCTCAATGTAAACACTGCCCTGAAAAGGGCAGAACACTG